ATTTGCTGACAATAACATGCTTGTTGATGTGCTTGATTGAGACAATATACAGTGTACTCTGGATGGAAAATCTCATTTTGTATGCTGTAATGATGTACAGTGAATGAATGCAAATAAATAAATAAATAAAAGACTAGGCACATGATAAGTATGATTAAATGTTAAAATATTGACAACATCCTTATGTAATTCATGTTCCCCCTCCTGCTTCTATCTGGAAAACATCTAGAGGTTCCCATCCAGATAACTCCTTCCTCAATTTTTTAGTTTTTTTGTTTATCTATAGGGCATGTGTGCTTGCTGGGGAGTGACAGACAGAGAGAGGGAAAGGAAGAGTGAGAAATAACCCCCAAAGTGGGAATGGCCATGCCATAATCCCTTCTCCATTCTCCTCTTGGGATTTTGTGCACGCACATGCACCTGGAGTGTTTTTCAAACCACTGGGTCCAGGATTCAAACCGTGGAGTCAGCCATGTGGGATCCAGTGCTTTAATCATCATGCCACCTGCTGGTCCAACTCCTTCCTATTTCCTTTCAGGTCCAAATGAGGAATTTAGTATTCGATTAACCGCTCTTTCCTCATATTGCGAGGTCGGTATGGGTATGTGGGCTCTTGCCCGGATCGTGACCTCATACAGTGCAATATGGATCAGCCTGACTGCATTCACCTACTTCCCTGCCGCCAGGGCATCTACCACTTCCAGGGTGAGTGGTTTTCTTCCCTCCCCCAGGGCTCACAGTCTCACCCCTGCCTTAGCCCCAGCTCAGATGTCAGGGCCTGCCACTCAGAGCCTGCTCATCATAGGAGAACAATGGGTTTCTATTTGTTTTCATACTTCAAGACCCAAAGTGAATTGGCAGATCAGAAACCAGTGGAATCTCCACTGGCCCTCCTGCATTTCCACAGAAATACCTGCCAATGCAGGCAGGAAAGGGAGGGTGGCATGCCTCTAGGAAGCCCCCTTGGAGGCTGGACAGCTGGAAAAGTGCCCTCCAAATGGCCAGTGAACCTGAGTGCTTTCCTCCCCAGCACAGGGTGGATCCTTCTGGTCAATAACATCCTTTGGCACCTTTCGTCCTTGGGGAAAGTTTGCCCTCAACTTCTGTATCGAGCTTCAGGGGAGCAACTTGCTCACTGTGCTGGCACCTAATGGCTTCTACATGCGAGCCGACCGAAGCGGTACTCTATTGGCAGACAGCGAAGACATTACCAAAGAATGTATCTGGGAATTTTAGGTAAGGAAGAGTGGATAAGGACCTGGGGGCTGAGGGAGCAGGAGCTGGGTGGGGGAGGGCGGGCAAGAGGAGAAGGGAGGTTGGCAGGGCGGTGTGTGTTGGGGAGTGGTGAAACCAAAACGCATTTTTGGACTGACTTCTGTCCCACAATCTGATCAACTCTGGATATTTATTTCTAATCTGTGCCATTCCTTGCAGATCAGATCAGAGCTAGTTTTTTCACTATCCCGCCCCACTGACAGCTATGCTTGTAAGTAAGCCAAGTGGGGATAGAATGAGGTGTGCTTGCATAAACTTCTCTCCACTAAGATGCAGATGGAGACCAAGGAGCACAACTTTTCAGCTCTTGACTTCATGATGCAATGCTAAGGGACTCTGTAAGATTTCCACCAGAGGTGGCCCCTGAAGCTTGGACCTCCAAACCATGAGCTGATTAAAACTTTATTCTTGTTCCAAAAAAAAGAGTTGCAGATGGAAAAAATGGAAGACTTTGAGTATGTGCATAGGTGGAAAAAGAAGTGTTTTCTATCCTGTGCACTTTGTTTCTTTTTTTTTTTTTTCATAATTATTATTATTTTCAACTTGCACTCACCAGAGAGGGACAGAGAAAGAGAGGGACAAAGTGAGAAAGCAAGCTGCCAGGTCCAGGATTCAAACCATGGTCTGCCATGTAGGAATCCAATGCCTTAACCACCATACCATCTGCTGGCCTCTTCTATTCACTTTCCCTTCCTATCTCCTTGGACCTGTGGGTACTCATGGCTCTTACATAGTTGTCTCCAGCCTTGATCCTTCTCCCCAACGCCAACCTCATCTCTCTCCAAATTCCTGCTAGATAGTTGACTTGATTTTGTCCTGCCAGAAACAGTCTCCTTATCTTCCCCTCCTGAGGTGATTGTCTTCTTCCTGCCACTAAGGGCCATTGCAGGGATTGCCATCCTCCCAGATGCTCTGGCTCAAAATCTCAACTGCCATCTCTATTCTCCCTTTTGCTCCCTTTATCAAACCCTGCAAATTTTGGATACTTTCTTAACAACAGCTCTTGAGTACTTGCTCCTTTGTAATTACTATGGCTATACTTTGTTCCAGACTTCCCACCAAAGGCCCATATTGCTTCCAGGGCTCCCCTGAAGGACTTCCCTGACCTTTCCCTGGGCCCAGATCCGTCCAGTCTCTTCACCACACCAAATTTGCTTTCCAAATCCACTGCCTCCCTTCCATCATTCTCTATGCATACTTCTAGCCACCTCTTCTCACACTGTCTCTGGTATCTACAGTTGCTTTCTATTCCTTTTTTATTTTTTTCCCACATTTTATTGATTCACAAAATATCTTAATTAATCTAAATACTTGTAATAGCAAGTTCAGCTGATATATCCATTTCTGTGAACACATGTTGACTTTAGGCATGAAACTCTATGGGTAGACTGACTATATTATAAAGTAGCACCTAACTGAGGCTATATAGCTTACTATGGTAATCAAATAGATATATTTTTAAAATATTTTTTTACTTCAAGAATGACAGTTTTAGCTTTAATAAATCAAAATGTAAAAATGTTAAGAGAACTTTGCTTAAGACTTAAAGCCAGGAAACAGATTAGGATTCTTTTCGAATAATAGGTACATGGACCTGTCCACAGCTCAAAGAAGACAAAAATCCTTAACTCTAGAAAACAAAGCATAGAAGAAGATCAGTAATGTTTTAGTCAAAAGTCATAAAACTCTATTTCACCAGTTCAGACTCATGTACTTAATCTATCTTCTGTTGTGGTCCAGTCTTTCCATTTAAATTCTGGAAGATAATGTTCAACTATGGACTTGTCCCTACCATTAAGCTGGCCATTTCCTTAGTTGTTTTAGAACTCTTTTTTTTTTTTTTTTTTTTTTGGAGGTAGATTTTACTAGCCCAGTGATTCTGTCTTCTACATCTGAGATTCAATTTTCTATATGATCTAGTTTGCTTTTAATACTTTCAAGGGAGGATTTGACTTCCTGTATTATAGCCTTCATCTCCAACAGTTCCATTTGATTCCTTCTTATGGTGTATATTTCCTCTTCCAGTTCTTGCAAGAACTTCCTCACCTCCTCGAATTCATCGACTCTTTTCTTCTGGAGTTCATTGTCTCTCTTCTCTTCCATCTCTATTAGCTTTGTCACTATGAATATTCGAAATTCTTTATCAGACATTTTCGTGAGTTCCATTGTACTGTCTGTGGATGTAGAGGAGTTATTCTTTCCCCTTGGGGGGAGAGGTATTTTCTTGATTTCTCGTGTTTCTTGTGCCTCTGTGGTGATTTCTAGTCATCTGATGGGTTATTTGTTTCTTCCTAATTTCTAGACGTTCAGTCTGAACAATCAGAGGTGTGTAGGAGGAGGTGCTCTGCAATCTCTTTGCTGTTTCATTTTTCTCCCTCTGTGCCACAGATTCAGTGGGAATTGAGGGATATGTTGACCCTAATACTATTTGGATATTTGGCTACGTTTCACTTAGACCTGACTAGACAGTGCATGGAGGGTGAGCAGCAAAGTGATAAGGTAAAAGGAAAAGGATAAGAAAACAGAGAACAGCAGCTGGCGCAATGGCTATGTCGTTGGACTCCCATGTAGTCAACTGTAGTTCGAGTCCCAGACCCAGTGGCTTAAACTCACACTGGGCACATGTGCGTGCATGCCCAAGATCCTGAGAGGAGAATGGAGGAGAAGGGATTGTGACATGGCCATCCCCCCCCTGGTGGGTGATGGGACTTGAACCGCAGTTGACTACATGGGAGTCCAATGACATAGCCATTGCACCAGCTGCTGTTCAGAGGCAAGAAAATACTTTACCTTAAAAAATTTTTAAAGAGGGACCAGTAGTTGGAGTAATGGCTATATTGCTGGACTTCCATGTAGTCTACCACGGTTCAGGTCCCGGATCCAGTGGCTTAATCTCATACCAGGCACATGTGCGTGCGTGCCCAAGATCCCAAGAGGAGAATGGAGGAGAAGGGATCGTGGCGTGGCCATTCCCCCTGAGGGGGTGATTTCTCGCTTTCTGTCTCTCTGGTGAGCACAAGTGCCCTATAGCAAAAACCTCTCCAAAGAAAAATTAAAAATAAAAAAATTAAAATTTTAAAAATTAATAGAGACAGACAGATAGAAAGCGACAGAGAGAGACAGAGAGAAAGATAGAAGGGGCTCTACCAGGGTGACTTCTGAGCAGAAAAATCTTCATTTCTTTTATTTCCTGAAAGCACCAGATCTCAGCTCCCACAGAGGACTGCCATTAAGTTGATTTTTCTCAAATAATTTCTCCTATCTTTTCTTTTATATTACCAGACAGTACGTTTGCTCACCAGAGAGAGAGAGAAGCAGAGAGAAAAGGAGAGGGAGAAAGTAACCCTCATGGGATGGAGTAATGCCACAATGCCGCAGTCCCTTGTCTATTTCACCAGCCTTTTGGGAGTTTGAGCATGCATGTACATGTGCCTGGTGTGTTTTTCAAGCTGCTGAGGACAGGATTTGAATTGTGGTCAGCTCTGTGGGATCTGGCTCCCATAATCCTTAACCACTAGGCTATAGGGCCAGCTCTCCTGCCTTTTTCTACAAATTAGCTTCACATGCCTACTGCTGAGCACTCATAAAGAATGGGACAAATTACTTTAGTCTCTCTCCTTCCTCAGGATCTTAGCTGGTATTCTCTGAAAAGCCAGAAATTAGCAAACAATTGACTGATTGCTAAAGGTTTCTATTTCTTCTTCCCTCCCCAGGTCAATGGGATGCCACCTACCAGTATCCAAATCCTCCAGGAAAAACTACTGCACTAAACAGAACAGGAAACCCAGAATCAAGATCCAAGAGAACAATATGTGTTACACAACTTTTTCTACCCAGTTTAGCAAAACACCCATTTCAAGCAACAAATACATCACAACAGGCCACCCCCAAGATCTTTGTGTGCCTCTGACTCAGTACAGAGTAGGGTTGTGGATGAGGGTGGAGACCAAGGCCCCAGAATGCTCTGTCTATCCAGAAGAGCAGAGACCAAATGGTAACCAAGACTTCTGCTGATCCTTCCCATCCCCACCAAGAACCACAAGTAACCCCATGAGGAACCAGCCTTGTTCTGAAGGAGTCAGAACCCAGATGTGACTTTGCCATAGGGCATGTGTGCTCACTGGTCAGAAGACAGAGCAGAGAGACACAGTAAGAAAGAAAGAAATCACGCCCTAGGGAGAATGGCCATGTCGCAGTCCTTTCTCCATTCTCTGCCTGGGATTTTGGACATACAAACACACAAACACACACACACACACACACACACACACAAACATGCCCAGTGTGATTTTCAAGCCACCAGGTCTGAGACTTGAACTGTGGTTGGCCATGTGGGAGTCCAGCACCTTAAACACCAATCCATCTGCTGGCCTCCCCAGATGTGACCTTACATGTCTTTTGGGTTTAGAACAAATGAAAAATTGTTAATCCCAAAGGTAAAGATTATAAGATTATGATCCTGTAATACATGGCAGAGCCAATCCCCTTACCTCCCCCTATGACAGCTTATCAAACTTTACAAATGCCATTACCTTTGATTTAGTGAGGTGGGTGCGAAGGTACTTTCTCCTCCACTGCTCACCTTTTACAGACCTGAAGTGATTTGCCCAAAGTCCCATGACCGGTCACAGCAAAGGTAGGCCTTGACTCAAATCTTTTGACTCTAATGTCCATTATTTCCATCCAAATAGGACTTTGAAATGTCTTATCATTCTTGTAGTGTATTAATTATTTTAGCCTTTATCTACCTACCATCTGCCCTGTTAATGTTCTTATTGACATAGACACTTAAATACATCTTTTTAGAAAAGAGTATTTTCATCACTGTCATAAAATGGAAAACCAGTATCACTTGCCATTCATAGCAAGTAACTATAAAAATAAATACAATGAAAAAAAGGCAATGTTAACAAATCCTAGTTAGATTCTGTGGCCCTGTCCAAAGCTCAGAGGCTGATGCTTCCTTTCTCTTTGTTACAAAAACAGAATAACAGCTGTTAAAGAGGCTATAAAGGCTAGAACCAAAATGAAACGTTCTCCTTGATGCAATCAGAATTGAAAGGGAGTTGAAAAGGGAATCATCTTCTCACTTCTGACTCAATATTATTTAAAGCAGCATCCACACGCCTCCTGAAATGTTCTTAAAAACTGACAGTGATGCCTGTTCCCTACTTTGAGAAAATTGTTCCATACCATAATGGATGTCTGGTTTTTAAGTCCATTGTAAAGAGAAGGCTGAAACCAGAACATGAGAGAGATTCAGTTTAAGTAGAGAAAAATAATCTTAGTTTTCTAATAAGTATATTTATGAGCTATACTTTTTTTTAAATCTTTTACTCCAATCATTGAAGGTTGAGAACACTAGGGATTATGGCATCCACACACACACACAAACATGCCCAGTGTGATTTTCAAGCCACCAGGTCTGAGACTTGAACTGTGGTTGGCCATGTGGGAGTCCAGCACCTTAAACACCAATCCATCTGCTGGCCTCCCCAGATGTGACCTTACATGTCTTTTGGGTTTAGAACAAATGAAAAATTGTTAATCCCAAAGGTAAAGATTATAAGATTATGATCCTGTAATACATGGCAGAGCCAATCCCCTTACCTCCCCCTATGACAGCTTATCAAACTTTACAAATGCCATTACCTTTGATTTAGTGAGGTGGGTGCGAAGGTACTTTCTCCTCCACTGCTCACCTTTTACAGACCTGAAGTGATTTGCCCAAAGTCCCATGACCGGTCACAGCAAAGGTAGGCCTTGACTCAAATCTTTTGACTCTAATGTCCATTATTTCCATCCAAATAGGACTTTGAAATGTCTTATCATTCTTGTAGTGTATTAATTATTTTAGCCTTTATCTACCTACCATCTGCCCTGTTAATGTTCTTATTGACATAGACACTTAAATACATCTTTTTAGAAAAGAGTATTTTCATCACTGTCATAAAATGGAAAACCAGTATCACTTGCCATTCATAGCAAGTAACTATAAAAATAAATACAATGAAAAAAAGGCAATGTTAACAAATCCTAGTTAGATTCTGTGGCCCTGTCCAAAGCTCAGAGGCTGATGCTTCCTTTCTCTTTGTTACAAAAACAGAATAACAGCTGTTAAAGAGGCTATAAAGGCTAGAACCAAAATGAAACGTTCTCCTTGATGCAATCAGAATTGAAAGGGAGTTGAAAAGGGAATCATCTTCTCACTTCTGACTCAATATTATTTAAAGCAGCATCCACACGCCTCCTGAAATGTTCTTAAAAACTGACAGTGATGCCTGTTCCCTACTTTGAGAAAATTGTTCCATACCATAATGGATGTCTGGTTTTTAAGTCCATTGTAAAGAGAAGGCTGAAACCAGAACATGAGAGAGATTCAGTTTAAGTAGAGAAAAATAATCTTAGTTTTCTAATAAGTATATTTATGAGCTATACTTTTTTTTAAATCTTTTACTCCAATCATTGAAGGTTGAGAACACTAGGGATTATGGCATCTCCTTTCACAGAAAGCATTGGAGCAGGTCAAAGATGTACAGTGGATAGATACTCTTCAGAGTGATAGGACCCCAGCAGGGGGTCATTCATTACAGAATCTTTTCCCATAGCTCTCTATGAATACATGTACACTCAGAGGCATGGGCACGTGTGTGCACAGGGATATACATTCATACCTACATGCACATTTATGCCCCAACTCCTACACATGACCATCCATTCGTTGCTTAAATATGGCCAACCCATGGGCCTTAGCTGAGACAACCCCTTTCATTGCCAATGTCAATTCTGTTACCAAAGTGATTGGCTTGCTCTCAGACTGCACTGCCTGAGAACACCCTAAAACCGCTCCTATTTTCCTGATCATTTCTGTCTAACAGGGCCTCCAGTTTGAAAGTAGAGCAGGCAGGGCAAGGATAGGGTGTACTCTATAACCCCTGAAATTTTATTCTAGGAATATGCTGTCCCACAGAACTTTTTGTGTTGACAGAAATGCTCTCCAATCTCTGCATGTAGTAGCCATGAGTCACATGTGACTACTGGTCCTTAGAAATGTGGCTAGTGAGAATGATGAGCTCAACTGCCCATTTTATTTCATTTGAATTACATATAAATAGCCACATGTAGTTGGTGGCAATTTACTGAGCAGCACAGCTCTAGAGTATTTGATAATAAAGAGACCTCTTGAAGGACAACTTCTGGGTCAGCATCTGTCCCAGATGGGAGCAAGCAAACATGCCCCCTCTCCTCCATCACCACCCCTCTTGGTCCATCCCTTGCCCTTGAAAAGGAAAGAATATTAAGGGATAAAGTCATGCTCTTGTCCAAAATTCCCCTTCTTCACCTCATTTCCCCCATATTCCTTGCTTTCCTCATATCCCAACACTTTCCAGGAGGGGCCTAGACCTTTCTCTTCAGGGAGAACAGAACTAAGAGGATGTGGCATTTACTGCCTGAAAGAATCAAGCAAGCATACTCTTGGAGAACAATTATATGTAAAATTAGAACATGGAAAAATGGCATTTCCACTCTGTCTACTGATATGACAAAAGTGCATATACATTTAGCTATTTAATGTCTGTTTTCTTAGATTAGAGAATTAGAGTAAATTTTCTTAGATGTGAATATAGTATTGCAGTTATGTAACAGAAGTTCCTTGGTTTTTTGGAAATGCATGATGGAAGACTTAGGAGTGAAGTGCCATGATGTACTATATCAGTGTGTGTGTGCACATGCACACATGTGAGGTCATATGGGCATCTAAACACCAAGAAAGATAAATACATACATATAGATACACACACACACACACACACACACATATAGATACATGCATAGGATAAATAGAGGTAGGTACACAAATACATCAATTAGATACATTTATTGGATACCTACATGGATTAGATGATTTATAGAGCAAATGTTCTTTCTCTCTCTCTCTTTTAATTAGTTTTTCTATAGGGCATATGCACTCTAGGGGAGAGAGAGAGAAATCATGCCCCAGGAGAGATGGTCACATAGCAATCCCTTCTCCATTTTCCTCTTGGGATTTTGGGCACACACACACACACGTGCGTGTGTGCACATGCATGCTGCACCCAGCATGTTTTTCAAGCCTCCATGTCTGGGCTCCAGCCATGTAGTCAGCCACCCTCTCACCTTGGCTGGCCCAAGCGACTGTTTATAATTGTTAAATATATAGAGAAGAACATATAAGTGTTCATGAGAAAAACATGATTGACGACAGGAACTACTGCTAGTAAAAAATATTTTTATTACTCTCAGGTAGAAGCCTTTTAAGGCCAGTGTGAGAAGTGGGTAGATGTAGATACTGCTTCTCCAGGCCCTCTGACCAAGTCACGTACAGGACGGGCAGCTAGGCAGGGCCAGGCAAGGTCGGCAGACGAGGGAGAGACCACAGGAAGGAAGAAGGAGGGACAATCTGCACAGACAGGACAGTCAGGGCTGTGGACTGGACCATATCAGATTTCCCCATCCCATCTCCTGCCCATGTAGGGCCTCTGGCCCCCTTCCAGGTTTGACAGTATATGAGGAACCTGGCCAGAGCAAGGTCTGAGGGGCACTAAGAATAGCGACTAGGCAGTGGAAGGAAAGGCGGGAAAGGCAATGCAGAACTGAATCCAGGGACATCGGCTATGTGGCAAGCAGCCTGCAGGGACAAAGAGATGGGGAGCTTGGGCTTGTTGTTCCCACCACCCCCCTCAAAGTCACTGAGGAGGAGGGGCTAGACACCAGTTCCCTGGATATACGTACACAAATCCCGATCCCATCTCCTCTTTACCTGCTATGGCTGTTAGTGGTGGTATACTCAGGGATAATAGTCTCCCCAACTTTGAGGGCCACACGAGGAATAAGGAAAGCTGCATTGGGGTTCCCTTGATGGCCCCAAAGGAGATCCATGCCCTCCTGTAGGTCAAGGAGTCAGTCAACCCTCTCCCATACTCTGCAAAAGTGAGACCTGGCCTGTGTTCTTACCCCAGCAAGGCTTGACACAGGCTTGGGGTGAGGTGTTACTCAGACAGCTGTCTGGTGTTGTCCCCCAGCTCAGCTGATAGCAGGAAGGACCCAATGGTTCCAGGATGGGCAGGAGTGCTGTGGGCACACTGACAGGAGACTGCTAGAAAAAGCAAGAAGAGGCTCTCAGCTGCCAGTGATGCTTCCTGTTTAGAAAGCCTGGGACGTCAGCTCTGCCTGTACTTGGGCTTTCTCCTGCACAGCTCCATGTGGTACCATTCATAGTAGACTGGGGAGATGGCACTTCCTAGAAGTGTGCACTGTGGGGGTACTGGGGAGTCATGGATTCTAGCTCAGGTCCTCACCAGAAATGGGAGAGGCGCTGAGCCCTTTGGTCTTCCCATTTCCCAAACTCCCTTGTCCTCCTAAGTACCTGTGCAGAGATGATCCCTGGGGACACCGTTGGTACAGCTGGACTCTGAATAGTACCTACAATGTGAGAGTGAATCCACTCAGAGAAAGGAAATAGGCTTGGGAGTAGGAGGAGTGCCATAAGAGGTAGGTTAAATGCAAGGAGGTTCTAGAAAAGGCAGCAGCAACTTCTGGTAGGGTTGGAAGAATATAGATGTAACAACCCTATACTGCCCTCCTTCCCAAGATGGGGCCTTGGGAAACTGGGGAAGAAGGATTATATCCTAGGGGACAGTGCAGTTCTAAGAGCAAGAACTGTGTGTGCCCAGCATTTAGCACAGGGCCTTGAACATGGGAGATACTGAGTAAATGTTTGGTGGGTCGGTAGATGGATGGTTGAACTGGTGAGTAGATGGATGGATGGATAAACTGATGAATCAGTGAGTGGACAGATGAATGAGTGCGTGGATAGGTGGATGGATGGCTGAATGAATGGGTGGGTGGGTGGAGGAATAGATTGATGGATGGATGAAAAATCACCTGGTAGCTGCATTTCCCACTTGAGCTTTTCTTGCCGGCGCCATTTGGCCCTTCTGTTGGAAAACCAGACCTGAGGGAGGACAGAGACAATGTGGCTGGCACCTGCTGCTCTCCCCAAGTTCTGGACTCAGAACACTGACCTCTCCTTGGACCTAGTGTCCTCCTTCTCTTCTTTGACCTTTGTTCTCAGTCCCCTTCCTCAACTCAAAGGCTTAAGGTGGGAATGAGAGCAATCAGCAGAAGAGGAATAAGGAGGGCCTCAGTTCTGAATTTTGCTTCAAATAAGTTTGTTTCAACCTTCTCGTCTTCCTCTCCTCGTAAGGCCCTGGCTGGCACAGGGTCTCCTCCTTGTGGTTTGTGCATAGCATGTCACAGAGTTTACTCACCCTTACCGTGTCCTCAGGCAGAGAGGTGGCAGCAGCCAGCTTTCCACGGGCCTCAGAATCTGGATATTGCCCACGCTGGAATTCTGTAGAAATTGAGGCTTACAGAGTAAGAGTACCAGGAGAGGAGCAAGGCAAAGGTCTCCCTCCCCCAGATTCTACTCCCCAGCCGTTACGACCCTAAACTACCCTTCTCTCCAAGGCAGGGCCACCCACAGCCTCAGGACCACTGCTTCCATGTCACACTAAGGACCCTCTGACCCACCATCTGACCCCAGCCCAGCACCTTTCTCCAGTGCCTCAGCTTGGCCTGGGGAGAAGATAGTCCGATTCCGATGGCCAGTTCCCGGATGAGGGCCCCGGGGAACCTCGGAGCTGCTATGGGGAGGAGGAGGACCTGGAGCCAAAACAGCTGCAAAGGAGGACAATGGTTTGTGGTGATTTGTGAGGGTGATTCCTCTGGTAAAATGAGGTCCCTGAGTCCCTAGAGCTGTGCCCAGGGGGCAACATGGATGAAACATTGGGGGTTGCTGCAGGAGCACTTGGTGAGTGGACATCCTGGTGGTACATGCTTAGTGTTTGGGTAGAAACAGCAGCAGGTGTGGTCTAGATTTGCAAGATCCCACCAAATACAAAGGGTGCTATAAGAAGCTATACTGAGGCAGAGGGAAAGTGTGGAGGACCCAGCCTGTTCCTTCCTCAACAGATCTGGTAAGCCTATGGGTAAAGGGACCTGGGGTCTGTTCCAGGACCTCCAACAACTAGCTGGTGACCTTGGGTAAGTCGTTTCACTTCCCTGAACTTCAATTTTCTTTTTCTTTTCTTAAAGAATGATTTATTTATTTAATTTTATTTGTTGTTATTGTTATTATTGTTGTTATTATTATTTTAATTTGACCAGAGTGACTGAGAAAAGGAACGTGAGAAAGCAACCTGTCAGGTCCGGGATTTGAACCACAGTTAGCCATGTGGGAGCCCAGCACCCCAACCACCATGCCACCTACTGGTCCCAACCTCAATTTTCTTATGCCAGGAGGGATTAAGATCCCCTGACAAACGCTCCTTATTGAGTTATGGTGAGAGTAATCATCATTATCGTCATCATCATCACAAAGGGTTTTGAGAACTCGAAACTGCTAAGAATTTGGCTTTGATTATCTTGGAGGCAACTCCAAGACCCACCTGGTGCCCTGGACTGTGCCCAGGTCAGTCTCTGGTCCTCCTGTAGCACTCGCAGGACTCGGTTGATGGAGGAGACCTGGTGGTGTCAGGGTGTTGAGTGGGGAGATGGTGCACAGCTCCAGGGCTGCATCTGAGGATGTGTCCACCAATGCCCTTTCTCTCTTTCTGTCTCCAGCCACACATCATTCCCAAGAGCAGATTCCTCTCTGTTTCCTTGCTTACTTCTTCTCACCTCTTAGAACTACCACTTTTTAGAAGAGAAACTTATGGATTAAAAGAGCCCAGAGGTCTTACCAACCCCACCCCCCAGCCTAGTATGCTCACATTGCCAAGAAGGGACTTATTCTCCCCAAGCTGCCTGTTGGCCAACTCCATGCAGGGAGGGGAGGGCACTTACACTGGGGGTCTTGTCCTGGGTGCAAAGTCCTTCAACACAAAGCTGACGTTGGATCTCCCAGGCAAAGAGGGCTGGATGCTCACCCTTCAGCTGAGCGATTCGGGCCACCACAGGGGGTGTGGCCAGCCGTGGCTTGCTTCCCCCAATACCCTTGGGCTCCAAGACACCTGTGCGGTAGTACCGCCCTAGGATCTTGCTCACACAGCCATTAGATACCTGAGTCAGGTGAGAAGCAGGGGCAGATTAGGCATTATGGTCAGAAGCAGGGAATGTCCCTGAGACAGAAGGCAGCTATAAGACAAGACGACATTTAGGGCCAGGCCATCAAGTAGAGTCCAGACTCACTTTTAGGAGCACAAAGTTCCCCTTTCTAACTCTCAGAGGATCTTCAAAGAAGAAGCCCAAGCCCCAGAGGCCCTCAAAGTTGGCAATGGCCAGACTCTTACCTTCAGAGAGGTCCCTTTCCCCTACTTCTGGTCCCCATTACTGGGTGAAGGCTCTAGCACGCTACCTTTAACCTCCGTGAGATGTCGCAGGGTCGCATCCCACAGACTGCTAGCTGCACGATCTGCTGCCGAGTGTCCAGGGGCAGGGGCCGGCCATTCACAAAGAGCCCTCCCAGCTGATTCACACCGCTGATCCCTAGGCATGAGAACAAGGCATCCACACCCCACCTCTCCCACTTCCCCCTTGCCCTGGCAGATGAAATCACAATGGAAACAAAGCCCAGAATTACTCCCTTGTCTCCATCCTTCTCCCTGTCCTGGTCACATCTCCTAGGCTTCTTACCGTCCTGCTGCATGCTCCAAGTGGATCCTCCTCACAGAAGGACAGAAAGCCAACTGGGAAGACCAGGGAGGGGAGTTCCTTCTTCGAGCTCCTTTTCCAGTTAGAGGCTAAATCTGCATTAACAGGAGACTGTCTGGTTAAGGTCTCTTGTGCAGAGAAAACTTGGGGTGTGCTGTTCTATAATAGAGGGACGGGTTTCTAAAAATTGCCAGTAGGTTGGCTAAAATTAGAAAATTATAATCTTTATTTAAATCCTTACATGGTAGGGCCCAGCAGGTAGTGTGGTGGTTAAGGTGTTTAACTCCCATGTGGCTGACCATAATCTGAGTCCCAACCCTGGAGTGTGCTTTCTCACTTTCCCCCTCTTTCTCTGTCTCTCTCTGGAGAGAGTGCGTGCCTTGTAGCAAATTGCGGGATGATAATAATGATAAAAAAAATTTTAAATAATTCTTTTTTAAAAACCCTTTTAGGATGAACTAAAATATCTCAGGACCACCAGCTAAGGACTGGGTCTTTTTGAATAGCCCACAAAGGGGTTGGGAAAGTGAGAGGATTCTCATTTCCCACATACACATCACAAAAAGTCAAAGAGGTGGAAAGAGATGATGTTCCTGATTACTCAGGCTTTCCCTTTTCCAAGTGGGTCACTGTGGTCTCTGACCGCCCCTGCGCCTTCTAAGTCCTGGCTGATACACCTGAGCTTGGTGCTACACCTTCCCTATCAGGCAGTTCTCAGTTAGTTGTTCCAAGCCACCAGCAAAATGCTTCGTCCTGGAAAGCACTTCAGGGAAAGAGCTTGTTCCAGGAAGTTTTGGGGAAAGGTGGGACTTGAGTCTACCTCCTAGGTTTGGGGGCTCTGATCCCATACATTGGAAATAACTATGAACAAGCCTAAAGTGCTGGCTTCTGAGAGGCACATTTCTTAGTAGCTTTTAAACTGCTCGGGTTGTTGGTTCAATGTTAACTCTGAAGAGTTCTAGCTCTGGCAGTGACATTTCACTCTCAGAGACCACCTTTCTGGGATCAGGGACTCATTCATTCCACTAACATTTATAGCATGGAGGGGATGAGGAGTAGGAGAGGACCACCTGCCAACTGGCACAAAAACCACTGTGAGCAGAAGAGTATCTGAACAGCAAAAGACACAGGCCATGGGACCCTGTGTCTTCTCTGCTTCCATCAGCAACTAATGGGAGCTGAAACTGCCTCCTTTCATGCCCAGAAACCTGGCAGGGCTAGAGGTCACCTCAGGAACAGCTTATACTTAGAACTTTAATGTAATAACCAGGCCACCTTGGCGTAGTTAACTCATCTACAATTACTTACTGAATAAGATATTAAGCTTGAGCACTTTGCTGATTGTTCAGGATAAAGAAAGTAAAAAAAAAAAAAAAAAAAGGACCAGCATTTAGCAAAATGGTTATGTTGCTGGACTCCCATGTAGTCAACTGCGGTTCACGTCCCGGACCCGGTGGCTTAAAACTCACGCTGGGTGCGTGTGCGTGCGTGCCCAAGATCCCGAGAGGAGAAAGGAGAAGGGATTGTGGCGTGGCCATCCCCTCTGGGGAGTGATTTCTCGCTTTCTGTCTCTCTCTGTCTGTCTGGCAAGCACACGCGCCCTATAGCAAAAACCTCTTCAAAAAAAAAAAAAAAGAAAGTAAAACAAAAAAGGACAAGGTCTTTGCTCTTCAAGAGATTACAATGCAACAGGGAGAGGAGACTAGCACTGGTGAGACAACAGTGGGTGACAAAGAGTGGAACTCAGAGCCTGCTTTTTACATTCAGCAGCTACACTGGCACTTACTCCTTTTTTTTTTTTTTTTTTTTTGGAAGATACAGATACATTCCCCTCCAAATTCTCATCTTTCCAGAAAGTCAGGAAACAAGGCAGAGGATTTTCAAAAGAGGAGACAGAGGCATAGATTGAGGTTCCCACAAGTCAGAGACCACCCAGAGAGAAAAACACAAGATTTAGAAGCCAGCTCCTCACCAGAAGCCCTGATTTCTGCCTTCTAATCCTGGGGTTCTTTTTTCTGCCCGACCCCTCTCTTACCTCCCCTCCCCCCATTTCATGTTTGTGCAATTGTCACCCAAGCAATGGAGAGAGGAGAGCCAAGCTGAGAATATAGAGGGCTATGCCTTTGCAGGGTGGCAGGAGCTCAGAATATCAGCCAAACCCTCAGTCCCTAATAGGATTCCATCCTCCTAAGTGATCAGAACTCAAAGGAGCAATGAGGATTCAGGTTCAGTATCTAAACCTAAATAAATTCCAAACCTACAATCATCATGCCCCAACACACACAGAAACCCTGTTCCCAATAGCCACACCACACAATCTCATTATTTATATTAACTTGTATGAAAACTAACCGGTGCTCACAAGATGGGAAAGCAGGATAGGGGGTTGAAGGAGCAGGAGGGTGTGTAGCTGCAGAGTCAGAGGGGAGAGAAGTTGGGCTTGGCCACACAAAGACATGGAGACAGCATAGGAAGCAAGGCAGACAATGAGCCTGCAGGTAAGCTACCTGGGTGGAGGGAGTGAGGCAGAAGCTTCAGTGAGAGGGTTCACTCTCCTGTGCTGGTCTCCTGAGACCCCCTAAGGCTCCAGGGGTTCTGGTGGTCCTGTCCTGGTAATAGTCTCCACTCAGCTCCTGCTTCAGTCCTGCCAGGGGGTCCAGAGCTATACACAGCCTGAGCTCAGGAGCAGAGGGCAGGCTTCTGGGAGCAGCCAGTGATGTCATGAGCAGAGGAGAGAGGAGGAGGGAGGTGTACATGGGGCTGACTGACACTGGCCCTGAGGCAGGGCAAACCACAGCCAAAGACCCACTGTGTCCTGCCATGGGAATCCCCAGAGTTAACCTCATGTCCACCTACCACCCTGAAGCAGGAACAGAGTAATTCTCATGCATTCCCCCTAGACCCACAGTTCATCCACAACAGGGCTAGTACTCCTGAAGGGCATGGGGAACATGGAGGATGGGGATCTTCAAACTCTTTCAGCTAGCAGATCCCTGCTGTGTCCCCAAGCTTTGAATGCACAGAAGCACCAAGGTGCCTTCCAGAACCACCAACACAGCTTCCCAGCCAAAACACACATGCCTAGGCTTTTGAGTCAACTCCTGGGTCATGAGTATGTGGCTACGATAGAGAAATGGGTGTACAGGCTGATACCTGTGCTGTTGGAGTCAGCTCCTAAAAACCTGACAGAATGAGAGAGAATGGAGAAGAGTGTGTGTCACATAGAAACAGTTCTTCCCGGAGAATATCCTTACCAATTCTCCAATGGGCTCCATGATGGAGGTGACACCGAGAGTGAGTTCTTGCCTGGAAGCAGAGCATCTTGGACTTCACGACATTGACAATGGTAGTGGTGGTAGAAACGGTCCTCTGTGGGTAGTCAGAGATTCACGTGGGGTGTTTTTGAGGAGTCATGCGGCCTGATTTTCCCTCTTCTATCTTTAGACGTTACCAGGCTCTGTTTCAGTAGGCAGTACATCCTTTTAGACTCTCAGTTATTAATTACATTCTGTTCCCCCCCCCAAAAGACACCATGGGTTAGCTGAAGTCATTGGTAGGGAAATGGATACCAATAGTGGGGAAGGGTTCCCGCAGAGTGGGATGCTGGAAGTAAAACAGCCTCCAGAGCACACAAGCTTTGGCGCCATCATGGTTGTGGGCGGATCCCTGGTGGGCGTGAAGAAGCCAACACGGAGAGCCCTTTGTGCCCATTCTATAACTTGGATTCTCTGAAATCCTTGTAGAAGTCAGGCTGAAAGTAAGTAGGGTGTAGGGCAATAAGACTAGACCCAGAAGTCAGGAGAGGGAAGCATGGATTTCACTGGTAAATGCTTTAAGTCTTTTGGGTGTGAGAGTGGATGTTGTGTATTCAGCATGACCCTCAAGTTAGGGACTCTTATTCTCAGAGGCCAAGTCTATCACAGATGTGGGTTTTCTACTTTACCCCAACACGCTCCCTCCTCTTCCAACCTCCTCCAACATCCTCAGGCTGGCCCCAAGCCCTAGGGTACAGGGGACACAGCAGCAGGTAGCTTGAGCACTGTGAGCAGGACAGCTATGCCCCAATACCCTTAAGCACATTTTATTCTACTGTGGGTAGGGACTGCTGGTCACTCTGCTTAGCCATGCCTGGGTGAGAAGAGGTCCCCCTGAAGACATATGGTAGCTTTGCTCTTAGTTCCCCTTTCTTGATTCATCCATTCACCCCACCCCATCCCAGATATGCCCCCTGCATCTAGAGGCTCAAGGCTCTGGTCCTGACCAGCTATTCCCATAGACAGCTGCATGAGGGTGGAGATGGGGTTTCAGGGGGAGAAGGGACAAGCCCTGGCAGATGGTGGGGGCACTGATCTCCCCCATAAACTACCCTCTCCCTCCGCCTTCACAACAAGCTCTGCGGTCTGAACAAACAGAGGCTTTCGACCCAGAGGTGATGAAGGGAGGAAAAAGGGGGAAAGGGCCCTTGCAGGGGGGCCTAGCCGGCTCAGAGGCTCAGCCAGTCAGCCTTCTGCCCAGCGCACCAGACTGTTTGAGGAGCAAATATCTACCTTCACCGTCTTACTCTCTCAACCACCCCCACCGTGTTTGGGGCTAATTGTCCCTCATTAGCTGGGCCCAGGCCCCAGGCTGCTGCCAGCCCCCGCCATCTGCTCACAATTATACATTAACTCAGAGGTCTTGCCATCCGCCAGCCTAGCTGCGCGCCCCTTTCCGGGGCCAGCCATGGTCATTTCAGCCTGTCCCTCATCCCGATGTAGAGCCCTGTCTGCGGCTTGTATTGCCCGGGGGAGGCCCTGGCATGAAGCCCCGTGGCTGGGGGAAATGTTCTGTCCTTGGGAGAGGCAGCGGGAGTTCCCTGGCCCTTCTCTCGTTGCCGGAAGGCGAGCCAACCCCGTGCGTAAAGCTGGCGAGGGCAGGGCGCGGCCACCGCATAGATCCGCTGGCTTTGGTCTGACACCTCGCCACAAACTCTTGGCGCCCATTTTTGGGGAAGGAACAGCAGTTCCAGGCTGTTTCCACCCGTCCTTACGGCGCCTTTTAGTAGGTTTCGTGCCCTCACGCATCTTTCTTCTCTCCCCCGAGATCTCCATCTCAAGCCAGCCCTGAGCTTCCCAGGACGCACGCACGCGCCTCTGCTCCAAAACTGCCCTCAGGCAGCCGCGCCTCCCACTTCATAATCAAAGTGGTCCCTTTGCTACAAAAACGTCGGGGCTCTTCAAGTTTCCTAAATATTCCTGAGCTTGGGACCCTCGTGCTAAAGTTGCACTCTCCCTTTCCACTCAAGTTTTACTCAGTCACGTTACTCCCCCAGCCCACACTCTGCTCAAACGCCGGAAGTCTCTCCGCCGGCAAATCCCTGCTGTTTTCTGTTCGGCTTCTATAACTAGAAGGCTGGCACCAGGCTGCCCTCGGAAAGCCCCAGGGAGGGAGAAAAGAGCACACCCTCCCCACCATGCCCTGAACCAGGAGCACAGAAAAAGCCCTCCTTCCCCCTCTTTCACGGCGAACTCCTAGTCTCTGTGCTCAACACTCCCTCGTCTTTCTCTCAGGACTTCGGCAGATCAGATGGTTGGTGAGTCCGCACTGCGCTAGACTAACCTCCAGCAAGTCGCGGAACAGAGAGACTAGAGGTGAGGACCTAAGGCGTCCAGACCGGAAAGCGCAGGGAGTGCGAAGGGCAGGCTGTGAAGAGCCCAGCCCGGAGCCACCAGGACAGCTCGTTGTGCCTCTGACCTCAGCGAACCCGGCAGTCGGCCGCCTTTGGAGAATGTCTCCCCTGGCTGCCTGCAGCTGATCCAGCCACTGTGGGGAAGGTGCTGTGTCAGGAACACAGCTGGGGTTTCCAGACCCAGCTGTTAAGAAAACCTGAGGTTCAATCTGTTCTTGGAAACTGCCAGCTCTGGGTTCCCCAAGCTTTTCTCACCGCATTCTGCACTCTGCATGGAGTGGAGGATCTAGGGAAGCAGATAAATAAATAAATAAAATGTTATTAAAATTAATTTTAGATCAACATTATTTTAGGCCAGTTTTAGGTTTACAGAGAAATTTCAAAGGCAGTACAGAGAGTTGCCTAGTTTCTGTTATTATTAACGCCTTACATCAGTATGGTCCATTTGTTATAATGAATAAGCCAATATTGATATGTCGCGTTATTCACTATAGTTCATACTTTATTCAGATTATCCTTCATCTTATATGTTCTCTCCTGGAAGTTTTATAGCTTTGCATTTTACATTTAGATTTCTGATCCATTTTGAGTTAATTTTTGTAATACACGTAAGGTCGGTGTCTTAAGTTCATTTTAGCATATGTTCTAATTGTTAAACATTTGTTGAAAAGATTATCTTTGGGCCAGCAAATGGCATGGAGATTAAGGCAGATGAATCCCACATGACTGACTGAAACATCGAGTCTTGGACCTGGGGGCTTGATAAAACACACCAGCACATGTGTACACACTCAAAATCTTGAGAGGAGAATGAAGGAGAAGGGATTGTGATATGATTTCTCACTCTCTTCTGTTTCTGTCTCTGGCAAGTGCTCTTTC